GATGACTAAAATATGACTAAAACTAAATGGCATTTTAGTCAAAAGACTATGACTAAAACTAAATCAAAAGTTGCTGTCAAAATTAACACTGGCTGGAAGCACACCATTTTGTAAAATGCCATTGCATGTCATTACTGGAAATTACGTGATTACCCAAACCCATTAATTAGAAAGGGGTGTCCACATGCTTTCGGCCATATTATGGAGTAACAGCTATGAAATGAAACACGTGTTGTTGCACAAAACTCTTTGTGTGTTATTTTTGTTGTATAACTATGGGAGTACGTAAGACCATGGTGTATTGTTAATATAGTCCCAGATAAAGGTGCAACAAAAATGATGGCCATTTGCGATGACTATATTCACAGTAGCCTCTCACACTTTATGGCTTAAATAATAAAGGCAGTTAAATGTCGCTCATAACCTCAGTACAGTATAGCTCTAAATCTTCGTACAGCTGTTTGGCACATCAAGGTTACTATAACCATGAATTAAGCAGATTAGTTCCAAGTTTATATGCAGTGTGTCAGTATCAGATTCAATCGAAAAGCACATTTTGAAGAATTATTTAAATTTCTTCATTACAAGAAATGCTGTTGTGCAGTTGTAAACCAACATTGTATGCATCCAACCCCAAATTGCCAGTCGGAGCAGACATTTCTTCATTCCAGCTTTGTTTTATAACAAGCAGCGCTGCCATCAGATGAATCTGATGAATTCGATGAAATGGATATGCTCTCTGACTACCCATAAGACAATGGAAGGATGCCAGAAATGTAATTTCCTCACTTCCAAGGAGAAGTTTCTTTACACGGCACGGTTTCGACACTTTGAATCTTCCTTTGTTTGGAAATCCATATTTCAATAACCACCAACTGATTGTTTTGTTTGTAATACGGTCTGTTTATACATGGCTCGCATAGTTTGCCTGATCTTGTTATTCATTGAAGGAGTGTGGCATTCCTTTGCTAAACCTCACCAAAAGACATCACCCCAAAAGCAGGCTGGCCACCATCCACTGCCAATCTCATCAGAACAACACTGGCTTGAACAATCACATTGCTTTAATTATGTGGTTCCGCGGTCACCCAGTTGAGTGTTTTTTTTTGTTTTTTTTTTAAATCAGATGATTTGTAGTTTGGTTTAGGGACTTCAGAAGGGGAACTCTGGAATAGTTGCTGTTTTGGGTAGTTTAAAGAGTGCAAAGATGCCAAACATACTTTTTGTGTTTACATGCTCCAAATTATCTCCCACTCTTACACTCTTAAGTAGGCCTTTAAAGGTTCCAAAAAGAGGTTTTCACAGTGATGCCACAGAAGCAGCAGTTTTGATTCCCCAAAGAACCTTTCAGTGAACAAGTTCATACCAGAAAACTGAGATGTCACAAGACTTACAGAAAGAATGAGAGTGAGACTTTGACATTTTCTGAAGAAGACGCTTGCTTGTGTAAAACAACGCTTTGCTACAGTGGCTATAGTGTTGGTGGTGCTGGTCATTGCTGTACGATGTTCTGAGCAAATTATTTGCATATCTAAAAAATATGTTTGAGCAATTTAGCAATAGCAATTTTTGAATTAATAAACAATTTCAGCTGAATGGAATGCAGCTCTTCAGAAAATAGTGTCATTATACAGTACAATGTACTGAATTAGCTCTCACGTAATTTACGCTCATGAAAATAAAGGTTCCAAAAACAGGTTTTCATAACGATGCAATAAAAGAACCAATTGTTGGTTCCCTAAATAATATTTTAATGGACAGTTCTTAAAAGAACCTTAGTTGTTCACAATGTGATGAACGTTTTAATAGTTTAAAGAACCTTTCACTATAAAGAACCTTTTGTGGAATGGAAAGGTTGCATAGATGTTAAAGGTTCTTCATGGAACCATCAAAGCCAATAAATAACCTTTATTTTTAAGAAGAACGCTTTAGAATTTCAAATGCCATTTTTCTGTTGTTTTCTTTACAATACTTCATGTTTATTATCTTTGCTTCTCTCTCTCTGGATGACACATGCCATTTAAATCCAACTCCAGGTTTGAGGGACTCTGCAAACAATTGGCAGTGAGATAAAGATCACCCATGAGAACAAAGACTAAGTGCTCTGGCTCATCGCTGGGAATGTCAAAACATGCCGGCAAAACACACATTCCCCTTCGCCCCCCAGGAACAATCTCTCTCTCTCTTTTCCCCTGCCTGGCTGACAAGTTGCTCATCTCTCATTTTTCTCACATCAGCTTCACCATTCTCTGGTTACTCCTGTATGCTTGGCTTTTCACAGCTCATGGCTGTTTTGATTTCTGGCACCTATCGTTCAGCCGTTAAATTATTATTATATTTTTTTTGGCAAATCTCAGCACAGATTGAGACACTGTTGAGATCTTCAACAGACAGATATACATATAGTGGTTTTCCACTGACTTCTTCAAATATCTCCATTTTATTCTCATATTTTCTAAAACAAACTCTAAATACAAATACAAGGATATCTGTGTTATTTATTTAACATTTAATTAATGTTTGCATTTAACGGTTTTTATTCATTTTAAGAAATACTGAATCACTTTTTAAGTGAGATGAATAAATTCATGTTCACATTTAGTGTAGAACTACAGTAAGCATCAGGTTTACACAGCACACACAATGCCTCCTTAATTTAATGTACTTATTTCTGATTTCTCTCAACATGGGGACATGAGTGCTGTCAGTTAATAAATAAGAAATCTAAGTAACTGGCACTACTTATTTGTAAATAAAAAAGTAATGTGTTCACTTGTTCACTAGTTACCTGAAAAAAGTAATCTGACTATGTAACTCACATTACTTGTAATGCATTACCCCCAACACTGGTTTTGAGTGAATTTTTAGCTTATCGGGAGTAGGGATGTGTGATATTGACAGACTGACTGACTGACTGACTGACAATGAATGAATTAATTAATAAATCTTTGTACGATAATTGATATTTTGTTGAGTGTGTTTTTGTGCTGGTACTTTGGCTGGTTTAGGCCTGTCGTAGACGCATAAATATGACACTAAAACTGCCAGTACGTGGCATCGAGTACCTGTCTTAATGAGTGAATAATTTAATAATTCATTCAAATGATTCATTCCAAATGGCTGAGAAATGACCGTCTTTACAAAAGGATCATTGAAACACTGACTTAAATGGTTTGTTCAAAAACAGATTAGTTCAGGAACGAAACACCACAGTGTTGCTCTGAGACACACTAATATTCTGATCCAACTTGGTTTTAGAAATGAAAGCGACAGTGAAAGTTCTACCAGGAAGAGTCTAATGCTACATTCATTCATGACTATTAGCTCTGGCCAATCACTGCTTGACACTTAGATTATGTAAATTCTGAACTTTCTCTTTTACATTCGCAGGTGATGAAGCTGACTTTCCTTTATTTGGACTTTAACTTTATGTGGAATAGGTTATATCACTTATGCATAATGCACATTTCTTAATATTAAGCCTAAAATATGTTTTAATATCTCTATTGATGAGGATTGTATGATATTTGAATAATATCAGTCTTCAAAAGCAATATATCTAAAGTGTACCTAAAGTATACTTGCAATAGTTCCACTTTAGCAATCAAATATACTTTAGTATATATGGAGTTCTACTTTAGCACTACTTCTGAACAATTAAAGTGCATTACATACAAAATCGGTTTCAATTTAGCAGACTTTAAGCATACTAAAAGTTCAACTGCAACATATTTTATGAAGTACATAAATATGCAGTGGTGTATAAAGTACCTGAAAGCCATACTCAAGTAAATGTACAGATACCAGAAAATGACTTTGGTAGAAGTTGAAGTCACCGTTTAAAATATTACTTGAGTAAAAGTCTTACAGTATGTGATATTTATTGTACTTAAATACTTTTTTTTTTTTTTAAATCTTAACCGTACTTAAGTATTGAAAGTAAAAGTACAAGTAAATGCAAAATGGAAAAGCAGCAAACAAATATGTATAAAAAAAAAATATATGTTCATATACAGCTTGAGTAGCAAGATTGTTTTCAGTTTTAACTCTCTTCCATTTTGTATTTTTGGGTAAGAAGCACTTCATTCGTTAGGGTCTTTCATGCCAACATAAGAAAACATTTCTGGAATCTGCATCTGAAATAGCATTTAGATGCATTTACACAGTTTATGTATCGCAGAGGTGTTACGGTTGGTGGTAGTGTGAAGGAGACGTAACACTGGAGATCAAGAAAAGTCTTTAATAAGATAACGCCAAAACTAACAGACACTTGCCAACTTAACAAACGAGAACGGACTCCGACTAAGGGAAAACGGTATTTGTAGTGGAGCAAACAAAATAACTAAATGAGTTAATCAAACACAGATGAACGAAATGACAATTAGGAGCCAAAGTAAAACTAGGTCACAGGGAGACAGATAAACTGAAAACACAATGAAAACAGGACAAAAACTAAACAGAACCCTAACATTACTCCCCCTCCCGGAAGGCGCGTCCCGCGTCGTAACAGTGCCATCGGGGAGGGGGGGGGGACGGGCGCCCTCCAGAGCAGATCAGGGAGCTCCGGGAGCCGTGGCGGAGCAGGCAGTTCAGGTCGCCATGGCGGAGCAGGAGACCATGGTGGATCCTCCGTGGCCTTGGCTGGCTCAGCCACAGGTATTTGCCCCCCCCTCCAAAAAAAATCTTCATGGGGAAATCTAGGAATCCTGGGGCAGCTCCATGTCCATTATCGCCGCTTGACATGCTGGAGCGGACTCTGGAGCGAGCTCTGGGGCTGGAGCCCTTCCTGGGCTAAACTGGGGATCAGGAGCCCTTCCTGGGCTAAACTGGGGATCAGGAGCCCTTCCTGGGCTAAACTGGGGATCAAGGTAGCGCTTACGTGGTGCTGGCGCACTGGAGGGCACTCTGGAGGAGCAGGCACAGCAAAGCGCTTTTGAGGAGTTGACACTGGAGCGAGTGCCACATGAACGTCCGGCGGGCTTGACTTCCGAGCGGCCGGCCATCTTGAATGCTTAGAGCCCGGCACTCCTGGGCTGAAGACTCCGGCAGAGCGTCGGAGGACCACGGGGAATTTGTGGTTAGGCAGGCAGTAGGAGCGGTATGTGGAGGTTCTCGGCGTGGGGTGAGCTGGGGAGAAATGGCACATTCCTGCGGGAGTTGGATGACGAGGCTTAGGAAGTCTCATTACTTCCTCAACTTCCATATCAGAGCTATTTAGGAATAGTACGAGATTAATCAGCTCGGTCAAAAGGAAAAATAAAAAAAAAAACCCCATTGGGAGATCGCAGCGGACTATTTCATCATCCAACCCCAGCAGGAAGCACGCACCTAGAGCGGCGTCGTGCCAATTCACCCGGTTGGAGAGCTCAAGGAAATCCTCCACATATTACTCCGACCGCCTTGCCGCGAACCCCACAGCGAGTCCTCAGCTGCAGTCATCGTCTTAGGTCCGTTCTTCTGTTACGGTTGGTGGTAGTGTGAAGAAGATGTAACGCTGGAGATCAAGAAAAGTCTTTAATAAGGTAACTCCAAAACTAACAGGGACACTTGCCAACTTAACATAAAGGAGAACGGACTCAGACTAAGGGAAAACTGAGAGTATTTGTAGGGGAGCAAACAAAATAACTAATGAGTTAATTAATCAAACACAGGTGAATGAAATGACAATTAGGAGCCAAAGTAAAACTAGGTCACAGGGGAACAAATAAACTGAAAACAATGAAAACAGGACAAAAACTAAACATAACCCTAACAAGAGGGGACATGGATGCATTTAAACTGCAGTTACAGATGCATAAATGTTTTGTTTTTAACATAAAACGGTGAATACTGATATTTGAAATGATTTAAAACATGAAAAAATGTCTAAATGTGAAATTAAAACCACCAGTAGGTGACAGCAAGTGACTGTTAATGAGTGAGTCATTGAGATTCAACCGATTCATTCAAATGACTGATTAATTCAGGAACAAAGCATTTGACTGTGTTAATGGGCGCTTCTCGATATCCCTCCTCGTTCCATTGCTCCTCCATCCTCCATCCTATGACCCGGAAACCGATCGAGCTCAGCCATCTTGAAGGACATCTCAACTCTCTAATTGCACCCCGAGGAGGCAAGGATCGAGGAGTAAGGTCACTTCCTGAGGAGCTATGAGCGAGGATACATAGGTGGTAGCTTTTGCGGAAGTATTTTTCATTGAAAAACCTGACGCACGTACATATTCTCCTCCTCCTTCACATCTGTTGCAATAATTAAAATTTATATTTTACCTTTGCCGTTTAAATAAACCATACATGTCATATATTTCAAACAGGGCATCTTGTTTTATTAATATTTATAATGAATGTCTTAAATAACAAACTTTAACAACATAAGGGCAGATCCCTTTAGAGCAGCTGATGACACTTTAAAGTGACGCTAAAGGAAGCGAGGATAAATCATTTAACTTGATTCAATTCCTCCATTCTGGCGTCTTTGCCTTGCATTCTTCCCTCGCATGCTAAAGGGGTGGAGCTAAGACAAGAGGAAAGGAAGAGAGGAAGGGAAACGAGGATGCACAATTAAGAATTGAGAAGCACCCAATGAGTGATTCACTGAATCATTTATTCAACCGATTCGTCCAAATAGCTGATTGCTCAGAGATGCAAAACAGTGCTGTGATCTTTGTTTGAAACTATTTTCGTTAGCAAAAACAAGCAATGTCAAATGTAAGTCACTTATTGCTTTACTGAACTTGTATAAAATGATTATGTGTTAATGTTGATATCTGCAGAAAAACTGTACTCTTTGTGTGATATAGATTAAGTTAACTATATTAAATTATATAAATATAAAAAAGCATACAGAATAATTTTTGCCGTCTACAATTTAGAATGCCTGCAATTTTGAGTTTTAATAGACTAATAAATCAATGTGCGTGCACTCTGTGTGTGATTTGGTGATATAGCCTATTTGGTAATGTCAGATCGCACATCATTACAACAACACATTATCGCAGACGATGCTGTATATCGCAGTCCCCAGACTTGATTTGAGTGGAAAATGAATCATCCGCGGTTGTGCGTGCACTTGTTTGCACATGAGCAAAGGTGTTCTTTAGGAGTCTAACTTGCAAACTCCAGACCACTGATTCGTCGAACCTGCCTTCCTGCAGTCCGTGTTCTTCTGACTTCTGACTATTTTGTAGTAAGTAACGAATATGCTTCTGGGAAATGTATTGGAGTAAAATAATACATTTTAATTAGGAAATGTAGTGGAGTAAAATTAAAAGTTATGAAATATAAAAACTCAAGTAAAGTACAGATACTCCCAAAAAATACTTAAGGACTGTAACAGTAATATTACTTCGTTACATTACACCACTTTAAATATTTTTGTAGTATACTTGGCATAAAATAAATGTATTTTAAAAACATTTTAGTAGTTCTATTTTTTTTTTCACTAGGGCAGTCATGCAGTGAATGCTTTTGGACTCAATGTGTTTTTTTTTTTGTTTTTTTTAAGTGCGTGGCATACTCAATGTCAGCTCGGACATTGTTAAAACAACAATTACAATATTACTGTAGACGATAAATATTACACACCCCTAATCAGGAGCTACAAGTTTAAGCAATTTAGTGGTAGTGATGTTTGATTTAGTAAACACTAGCAAGTTGAGGTGTTGGGTGTTTGCAAGTGTCTCTGGATGGATGCACTTGTTTGTTGAGGAGAGGAACAGATGCTGACATGTCAAGTCAAGTCACACTGACTTATACAGTGCTTTATTCAATACAGATTGTTTAAAAATAGCTTCACATTAATAAACAGAAAAAATAACAGTGTTAATGTTGTAAAATTCAACAATTATGAAACAAATTAAATTTCAGATGTAAAGCAGCTCTGCAGAAGACAATAGTGTCAGTATTTAGCTCAGTTTAGTTCAGTGCCGATTCAATTCAGTGAGGGTCAGTGCTGCAATGTTAGTGTCATTATTCAGCTCCATTCGGTTAAAATGTTGTTCTCATCAGACTGATAGTTTTAATACAGTTATATTGATAATGTTTAACATTACATAACATTATAAATTCTGTGGAAGCTTTTCAGTCAGTCTATAAAGCTTTTCTTATGTTTTCCACCAAAAATGATTAACTCCAAGATTATCCTTATCACTGCTAGAGGGCATATGACATTTAGGAGTTTGTTTTGTGCTTGAAAATATACATCTGGGATGTTTGATGCTCTAGATCTTGTTGGATTTTTCCAGTCCAAACATGTGGCATTGCTTAAGCACAAACACATTTAAGAAAATACTTTTGGAAGTAAAATGTTTACCGTGTTCCTCATCAGCAACTCCACCTCCTCCCGGCGACCAGGTGATGATGCTGTCCCCGGACAGAGTGAGGCGATCCCTCAGCAGGATCAACGGGTCCTGACAACATTCCTGGGCGTGCACTGAGAGACTGTGCAGTGTTTCTCACCGATGTCTTCACAGACATTTTCAACATCTCGCTAAGTCAGGCTGTTTTCCCCACATGCTTCAAAGCTACCACCATCATTCCAGTCCCGAAGAAGTCATCTCCATCCTGCTTCAATGACTACCGTCCAATTGCACTTACCCCCATCCTCATGAAGTGCTTTGAACGGCTAGTCATGCACCACATCAAGTCTGCCCTCCCCCCCTCCTTGGACCCCTTCCAGTTTGCATATCGGTCCAAACGCTCGACCGATGACGCCATCGCCACTACCCTCCACTCAGCACTCACACACCTGGACAAAAAAGAATCATACGTCAGAATGCTGTTCATAGACTTCAGTTCAGCATTCAACACAATCATCCCTCAACAGCTCATTCACAAACTGGTCCAGCTGGGGCTCAACACTTCGCTGTGCAACTGGCTGTTGGACTTCCTGACTGGAAGACCTCAGGCAGTACGGGTCGGCAGCAACACATCCAGCACCATCACACTGAACACTGGGGCCCCCCAAGGATGTGTGCTGAGCCCCCTCCTCTTCACTCTGCTGACCCACGACTGCACACCGTCACACAACTCCAACCTCCTTATCAAGTTTGCGGATGACACGACTGTAGTGGGTCTCATTAGCAACAGAGATGAGACAAACTACAGGAGCGAGGTGAGCCGCCTGGCCGGGTGGTGCAGTGACAACAATCTCTCTCTGAATGTGAAGAAGACGAAGGAGATTGTTGTTGACTTCAGGAGAGTGCGCACTCAGCATGCTCCTCTGACCGTCAATGGTGTGACTGTGGAGAGGGTGAGCAGCACCAAGTTCCTGGGTGTGCATATCACAGAGGACCTCTCCTGGACTGACAACACCGCAGCACTGGCCAGGAACGCACATCAGCGTCTCTACTTCCTCTGCAAACTGAGAAGAGCCAGAGACCCGGCCCCCATCATGTCCTCTTTTGCCCCACGCACCACTGAACTCTGACCCTCTGACGGACTCTCCCACTCCCCCCTCCCAAATACACACACACTGTCACTTTAATCAGTCTGAATAAGCTCTTTTGCACTACAAATCATTTTTTTGCACTACAATCATTATATCTGCACTTTTGTTTACTTTACTGGTTTGCACTCTATCTGCCATATGCCTTGTGCTTTTATATATATATATTTTTTTACATTTTACCTTATTTGTATATTTGTATAGTTGTATTTTGAGTTTTGTATTTAATCTGTATCTATCTGTATTTATGTTCTACTGTAGTGTTATCTGTATGCACCAAGGGTCTGAGAGTAACGCAATTTCAATTATCTGTGTGTATATGCTGTACATGTGGAAGAATTAACAATAAAGCAGACTTGATTTGACTTGACTTGATCAGTATGCTAATCTTAATATCAGCCATTTAGGAAAAAGAAATCAGGAAGCATTTAAAGATCTTGTCATAGTCTCATAATGGGCTGCCTTCCAGAGCGTTAGAAGCTAAAATAACACATATTTCCCTCTGTTTGAAGGGCTTGTTTTTAACTGTTCCCTCAAACTGAAATATACCAGAACAGCAGTCAAACGTGGTTAAGGAGACAAGGGCAGAAGATGGATGTACCAAAGATATATTTTATGAATTGTTTTGGCCTTACATCGAGTAAGTCTACAGCTAAACAGAGATTTGGACCCTGAACCTCAGAGAGCATATGCATAATTCAGGCATCTCATAATTCACGCCACATTATGGGTCATACCAG